TGCTGTTGTTTTCTTCTGGTCATTTTGTGATGGTTGTCTGCTTGTTGTGACTGCGGTGTGGTCCCAAGTTGGGGGATCCTGGCAAACATTGGATGATGCAGAATTCTCCTTTCCTTTCAACTGGGAATGCTGTTCTTCAGCATAAATTGGTCATGATTAGTAAAACCAGAGGGAGATCGCAGAGGACACAACCTGCCAAAACTAGGGTTGCTGGTGACGTAGCGAGAGAGTTTTGTCTTCGATCAGTTTATTCATTTATTTTTATTTTTTTTTGCAAATCGAGATTTCTGCCAGTTTTTCATTGGGTGGAAAAGAATATCTGGTGTCTGTTTCCTGTTTTCCAAAGAGAAAGTTAAAGGATCCATTTCCCAAGTTTTTCAAGATCAGGCTACTGCTAACTATTGGGTTTTTCTTCTGCCCGAAAGGAAGGCTAGGATTGAAGTCGGGCATAGGATTATTAAAGGGGGGAACCGTACATCAGATATTGGCTCCCAGAGTGTCCTTGTGGTGGAGATGTTCATGGGAGCGACCGTGTTTTCATACAACCCTTTCACTGTTTTACTTTCCCATTGGTGTGGCAAAGCCAATGCGGGTACGGGAGAAGAAGCTGGATTCATCCTTGGCAGTTAATGAGATTAACCAAATTTATGATTTGCAGTGCCCAAATGAATGATCCCGAATGAATGATCTGACCCCATCTACAGCATCAGGGCACAAGCAGAGCTTTCCAACCAACTTTTTGTCCCTAGTGGAGTGAGCAAATGTGCTTCAAATTGCTTGGAGAGTAAATATAACTCCGTTTCAGGCCCTTTCCTGCGTGTAGCCATGCTGTAAGGATCTTACTTTTCTCATAAGCATGAGCTTTGGACACCCGCTAGAATTGGAGATAACTTTCACATTGATCCAAAGCCCAGATCTAAATGCTACTGGACTTTTCTTGGGGAAGCCGTATACTCAGTGGAAAGAGAGGGGACCCTGAAATGTCATGTCTCCCACTAGGAAGTTCTCGAACAGAACAGACTTCCTACCAAAGTAAAATGCAGGGAGAAACCAGCCAAAAGAAAAGGGGCTTGGGAGCTTCAGCTTCCATGTGGCTGATTCTGCAGCAGGAATAACTCCCTCTGGTCACATTCGCTGCACGCATCATTTGTGCTTAGTAGACAATTGCCATTAAATAAAGATGAAAAGCCTCGGTTTGGAAGTGCGGGGTGAGGGGAGGATAAATTTGGGTCTAAAATGAGGCACCTCCCTTGTCCTGGGCATCACTTGATGTCTTGGGCTCTGTAAGAAATGCAGGGTCAGCAGAAACTGTGCTAACCAAAACGGAGCTTAGCCGACGCAGATTTGGAGCGTTGTGGGAAATGCTAACTTTAGCAGCAGACACCAACACAATGGCAAACACTCCCCGGCGCATCCCGATACCCTGTCATTAGATTGGAGCTGACTCTTGCTGTAAATACCTGTTTTGTTCAGCTTTTCCTCCGGGTCTACTCTGGGGTCTGTGTTGCTGTCGGCCTCGTGGGAACATGCGTTGTGCACAGCGGGGCCTGCCCTGCTGCCGGCAGAAGCTTTGAAGGGTGATGGGCAGAGGTCTGATGGGAACCAGAGAGGCTTTCCTTCTGTATGAGTTGCTTTTACCGTAAGGTTTCACAGCAGTTGCATTCATGATACATGGTTTTCCATTCGAAAGTATGCTTCCCCCTCTCTTGCCTCTGAAATGTGACTGTTCCTTGCGTTTCCTTGCTTTTACATCGCTAAGAAACCTGGGCACCAGGAATTGCTAAAAGAAATGAGATGGGTCAGCACATAGCAGGGGAAGTGATCTCAATGGTCTGAAGCTTCTCGGATGGCTGGGGTTGTATTTTTTTTAGTTGAGTTCAATAACACAGTGATGGAAAATGACTTCCATCCCTGTCACTTCATGCAGAGAGCGCCCGGGGCGACCAGGCGTAGTGACCCATTGGCACATTTGCATCATTCTCCACCTTCTTCATTTATTTATTTTTTTTTAAGCATTCACTGCTTGCTAGGAAGCAACATCTGACTCTGAAAGTCTGCAAACCCATATCCGGTTGGGGCCTTCCTACCACAAACACCTCTGGACCCTGTAAGTGTCTGGCTGCTGATGTCCTTTGTGTTGATTTCCTGTGTCTTTTTTTTCCTTTTGTTTTCCAGCCTAAGTGAGAGCTTTTTCATGGTGAAAGGAGCGGCGCTTTTCCTACAACAAGGGAACAGCTCACAAGGCCAGCGGAGTCTGCAGCACCCTCACAAGCATGCAGGTGGTTGATTGAGTCTCGCGTACTGCAGTACTGTCTTCTGTTCCCTTCCTCGTGCCATCCATGGTGACAGGCGAATAGCCCGAGTGAGGAGGGGCATGCCCCGCTGTAGTCGCTGGAGTGGGTCCGCATGTCAGCTGCTGAGTAAAAGCAGATTTGCAACCCACTTAGCTTGGAGTAGGCTGAACTGGAGCGTGAGTGTCGTGTCCTCATGTCAACTCCTGGAGTCTCTGGGAATTGTCACTCCCCGGAGTAGTAAATGGGCTGTCTGTGCATGTCCGAGCAAGCAGCACAGTAGGTCTTGAGCAGACGGGAATCTGTTGAGCGCCCAGAGCTGCTCTCTGTGCTTTCTGCTTTTGAAGAACTGCCTCTTCATTTCCATGTCTGTGATTTGTAACTACACCCCCGTCACCTTCTTCCCTTTCCGCAGAGGGCAAAAAGGGGAAGCCCCTATGCTTCACAGCGCTTGAAAACATGCTTGTCCTCGGTTTGATGGCAGTGGTTCAGCAAAGCATTTCAGCACGTGCTTGATTTTTAAGCATGTGTGTAGCCCAGCTGAAATAAACCCAGTGCTTAAAGTAAGCAACGTGCCTTGCTGAATCAGGGCCTACCGTTGAAATCATACTGAGGTTTTTGAGGACCAGGTAAGAGGTTTTGTCCCATCTGCACATCTTATTTGAAATAAAGGTGCGGTTTTGTTTAAAAAGTTACTTTCAGGCAGACCTGTGAATTGTCCTGTTATTAGCTTGGGATAGGGGAGCCATATGTAAAGACTTCTAGATATTATCATTTTATCTTTAATGTTAATAGCAGATATAGAGTGCGTGTGACAGAGAGAATGCACCATGTATATGCAATAAAACAAAAATACCCCTACAGAAATCACATCCCTGGTCCTCTTCTGTGGAGTTGTCTGCTCTAGTTTTTGTCACCTGGGAATTGGAGAGGAAAAGAAGCCAGTTTTGATCATGGCCATTTGAAATTAAAACTACTGACTAGATCATTGTGGATGGAGAATTGGGGTGGTATAAGGGCAGGAGGAGAGGAGGGGGAGCTCAGGGTAGAATGATGGGACCCTATTGAGAGCTCCCAATTCATTTCTGGCTGAAAAGGGGCCTGGCCAGCAGTTACCAGAAGTGCATTATCTTCTCTGTTCAGTGTCTTTGCTATTTAACCAGCTCAAGCCATGGGAGGTGATTAATAAGGGCAGGGTGCAGGGCAGCAGAATGGAAGATCTGTGTGTAGAAGACCCAGGCCCCAAGTGAATCGTGGGGATCGCACAATGTTGAATGGAACCGAGGAGCTGCCTTTGCCTATGAGTGTGCTGCCCTCAGCGTGTAATGTCCACGGACTCAGAAAGCTAGCATTCACCGGAGGCTCTGACTCAGTGGTCCTTAACATCAGGGTCTTTAGGAAATGCCAGTTCTTAGCTTTCTCTTGGTTTCTGATTGCAGAAAAATGGAGTGCTGCTTCTGCTGCAGAGAGCTCAGAAAGACCGCAACAGGGCAGAATGGTTTTGACGCTATGAATTCGTGTTGGAAAACTCTGGGTTTATCATGTTTGCATGCCTAACATTGCTAACATTGCGTGACACCCCATAGCACCCTGGAAAGGATCTCAAGGCACCCCAGGGTGCTGGTTGAGAATCACTGCTCCAACTAATCCAGCCAATCTCTCAGCTTCATAGGAAGGCAGATCCCCTGTTTTGCAATTTAGCAAAGGGGAAAAATGAAATCAAAAGCCCATCTCCATGGTGTTTATTCAGGGGAGACTAGGCAAATGCCTGGTTAGCCATGAGTGAGGTGACTAATGCAAAGGAGAAGAGAACAGAGCAGCTTCAAGTGGCTGGATTGCAAAGCAGGATGTAGTGCACCCAGCTCAGGAATAATTCCTGAAATCTAGAAACCGACAAAGAGCAGTTACCAAAAGAACAAAAAGGAATCCGAATCGTAGGTCATTTTCTACTTTTTGCCCAGTATCTTGTAAGATTTAGGTCATTGTAGCCCTGCGCAAACCAGAACACACCCTGGTTTCTTGTCATCTCCGGCTTGGCCACGAAAGATGCCAGCGTGGTTGTCGTAATAACACCGTTTGTGCAGTGATCCCACTAAGATGTGCAAAAGAGCACCCCCCTGGCTTTTATACCTTCTGCTGTTGATGGTTTTGGAGTAAGGGTTTCTTGGAGGCAGGGAATAAAAAACCCAGGGCATATTGAGGGAAGGAGCATGTGGGAAAGGCACAGTGTGGTACTGTGTGTCTGCTGCTTAGTAAACACTCCAGAGCACAAAGAGCATATTTGAAAGCCAAGCCTGGCTTTTCTCTGTTTGTCAGCAATTTCCCATGCCCAGCAAACATCCTACGGGAGGCATTGTGCCTTGTGTGGAAAGTGAGGCGTGTGTTAGCAGGTTATTAGACACAGGCTGGTTTTGCATCCACACTAACAACTTGTTACCTTTACTTCTGTAGATCCAAGTGAACAGGTGGAGGAGAAGCCTTGCATATTTAGGCTGAAGTGCTCTCAGCACCTTAACTGGGTCTAGTTCACTCATGGGAAACTGCTGGGTGCCCAGGCAGGGACAGCGGCCTGAATTACATCAGTGGGCTAGAACCTGTGGGCATGCGTGAAGTTTGCAAGTTAGAGTTATTTTTTTGGGCTCCAAATCTTTCAGCAATTTTTTTAAATTAGGGAAATTCTCCTTTCTGCCCCAAGCTCCAGGCACACTGCCAGGTCTTCTGCTCACAGTTCTTCCTTCGTGTTAGGTGCATGGTGGTGTAATTATGAGAGAGACTTATCATTATAATGGGAGCCTTTGTGTGTTTGGCACCTGCTAAATGCAGAGAAACAGCCATACCTTTATCCAGGGAGTGCAATTCCATTGTCATCTCAAGGATTTTCTGAGACTACAAGGTTTCAGTGGCTTTCCAAATAGTCACTACCTAGAGAAATTAGGTTTCTGTGGAAGTCAGGAGGATGCACAGAATAGAGTGCATTAAGCAAAGAATGTCTTTTAATGGTTTCCCTTTGGTCTCTGCAGGTGACTTGCCCCAGCACCTCCAGGTGATGATCAACCTTCTTCGCTGTGAGGACAGAATCAAACTGGTGAGGGGAGCTGCCATTTGTGCTTTTCTTTCTGCCAGCAGAGTTTGAGATGGCTCCATAAAGCAATGCCATAGAAAAACAGGACAGGAAGGGTATTCAGGAGGTCATCTAGACCAGCCATCTGCTCCAGCCAGGATCTTCCATGTCTAAATCATCCCAGAGTTTGTCTAACCTGCTCTTAGCAATATCCAGTGATGGAGATTCTGCAGCCACTCTAGATTAATTCCGTCCTCAGGCTTATAGAGATTTTCCTTATATCCAACCAAGGTCTCCCTCATTGCAGTTTAACCCCAATACTTCCAGATTATTGAAGCCATCCTCATTGACAGGTCCAACAGGGCCGTGTTTCTTTCTTAAAGAAGGCAAAAGAACAGATATTTTAACATATAGCTGTCTTGGTGAGTTAACCAGGCAGTCACCAATTTGCAGAGGGTGTAGCGTGTCACCTCAGGAGGGAAAGGCCCCAGGAGTGACCCCAATAAGGGTCGCTGTGTCTTGTAAGGATCGTAAAAAGAAGAGATGGAAGAGGTTTCCTAGCACTGCACTGCGTCCCAGTCCAGGACAACCCAAGTGCCCTTGTCAGCTTTTGGAGTTGAACTGGTGTTCAGAAAAACCCTCCACTGTACCTTCCTCTCTCACTTGAGCCTATAATGAGCTCTTGGAAATGAGGTGGGCCACCTAGACAACCCACTTTTGCATTGCACCCTTCCTCTCCTAGTCAGGTCTTGGCTAAACTGCCAGTCTGTCTGGTGAAAGGAAAGGCAGGAGCCATGTCAGCCTGCAGATTTGACACAAGCGTCATAGGGCCTTGGAGCAGAGCTGCCGAGCAAATAACAGTCGTAGTGACTCTCCAGAGCTGTGTTGTCTTCTTTTAGGCCGTGCGCTTGGAAAGCGTGTGGACAGACCGTGTCAGGTACATGGTGGTCGTGTACAGCAGTGGGCGACAAGACACAGAGGAAAACATTTTACTGGGCGTGGACTTCTCCAGCAAGGAGAGGTACGTCTGCGAAGGTGTCTTGTGCCCAGCCATCGTTTTAACAAGATGCACTGTAGGTGATATGGTCTCCCGGTCTCGGTGAAGGGCAGGAGCTGGAGCTGTCTGGAAACAGAGCTTTGGTTTGACAGAATTGTGTTTTTCCAGGAATTCCTTCCTCCTGAATCAGGATGGAAAGCTCAAAATATGGGAATCCTCCCAGAGCGGTGGCCCCTTCTGTCTGTGATGTGTATGCAGTTCCTCTAGAAAGTACTCGGTATTCTGAGTCTCATACGCATGTTACGAACCAGAACCACCGTCGTTATCCTGATATCAGAGAGGAGGAAGCAGAGACAGAGAAGTTACTTGCTGAAGGATGTGTGGGCAGTGTGATAGACTTCCAGGTTCCCATTTTACACCTCTGCCTTGCTTCACCTGATGCTGTTTAAGAAATAGGCAAAACCTGGGTGGATTTGTAAAGTGATTTTCTTTTTTTCCTCTATTAAATTGGAATGTATTATTTCTGTGCTGTGAATGGAGATTGCATGTAGTCTTAGGAGGGATTGATGCCACTATAATGTGTGGTAGGATAACATTTCCCTTGGTAGCAAGGCACAACCAGTGAGATTACGCTAAAGGTTTTTTCTCATTTGCTTCGAGCTAGTCCTGCCCAAAAGGGGAGGAAAGCTCTGAATCCAAAACAAGTGTATGGAGCCTTCAACTGTGTGGCGGCCAGCCCGGGAGTGTTTGCTGCATCTTACGGTTTTGAAATAATGGCTTCTGGTAGTTGCTAGTTGAAAACCGTCAGGGTAGATGCACCAGAGAAGCCCTGAGGTCATGGTAGGATATTTTCTATCGCCATGAACCCCGTAATACTTAGTTTTAATGAATTAAAGAAATACTTAATGTAAAAACCAACATCTATCAGTATTGGCAACTAGGGGGCCCGAGGTCCTTTGCTGAGGCCAGAATGGCAGTCTGAGCTTGTAACCATTTTGGCTGTTACGCATTTGTTCCTGCTGCGGTGCTGTTTCTATTTATTCCCTTTTCCATCCATTTAATACAAAACGCTTTTTTCCAAGAAAGCTCTGAAGCGCATGTTATCTACATGGGTGTTAAAATTGGCCTCTTGTTGCTTTTGATCTCTCATATCGATGAGGGCATGGCTGAAAGAAAGAAAAAAATTAACTTGAATTCTTTGCAAACTGGCTGCAGCAGCAAACATGCTAATTTCCTTTAAAAGTTTAATATCTTGGCAGCTTAATTATTTACTAGTTGAAAGCAACTGGCCCATATTACAGTCTAGTTTTCTTGCCAGATTTCTCCTTGCAGATTTAAGCGGTGGGGTTTTTTTGGGTTGAGTAAACTCATAAAACCCTTTTTAACCCCTTCCACCAGCTCAAGTGGAAAAGCAGTCCTTTCAAAGGTCTTTCATGGCCTCTTTAGGGAGGCACGTTTGGATGGTCTGCGACTTGCCAAGGTTTTTTTGGCTGACCTTGGTCAGTTGGAGTCCTCTGTGTCCATGTTGCTGGGAACTGGTGGGCAGGAGCATCTGCTGCGTGTGTGTCCCCAGCTGCATGGGAATTATCCCAGGGGAAGGTAATGAAGGTGAAGCCCCAGGTGGCTCTTCCCTGGGGTACAATGGCCCCTAATGAGGAAGTTTTGTTTGGGGTGTGGGGGGAAGAGGTAGAAATTGTCATTCTTTTGTTTTCCCAAAGTCGCTGTGTAGAACAGCAGACCTTCCCTGGTGACTGAGCGGGCTTTGGACATGTCACTCCCTATGGCATTGCAAGGAGCCAAGATGCTGCACTTGCAGTGGCTAGCCTGGGAGGGGAGATTTTTAAAGGAGGGTAAAGAAGATCCTTAATCCACTGGCTGTTAGCTGGGGGTATGTAATTGTTGTGGCCTGGGGTCATATTCCTGATAACCACAGCACCAGTTTCTCTCCTTTTCTCTGGTAGTAAAAGCTGCACCATTGGGATGGTCCTGCGGCTGTGGAGTGATACCAAGATCCATCTTGATGGAGATGGGTAAGGAATGAAAGCGTGCATTGCCTAGAAGGACAAATGTGGGTGTGAGGGAAAAGCAAGGTGTAGGAGCCGAGGCTAACCAGAGAGGGGGTAGGTTTGATTTATTCCTTGGTGTATCAGAGGACTGTTCTAAGAGTGTGCCTCATTTCCAAGGTTAGTACAGACTGCAATTCTTCTGCCTCCATCCATTTAATAAATCATTTGCTTTTGGTTCCTGGCGCCCTCATGCTGTCGGATTGAATGTGTTATATCTTCTTAATGGTTCTGTAAAGAAAACCGATCTGTTGTAGTTCAATTCCGTGCACGGCATTTGCAAGGCCTCCCTCTTCCTTGACATTCTCGTTTGCAAGGAGGTTAAGGCCCACATGAGAAAATCCGGCTGTGTAAATTTTGATTGTGTTAACAGCCTCCACTGCCAATGGTACCTCTGCCTTCATTCGGCCTTGCAGTGCAGGTGCCACTGGCTTCTTGTTGGCTGAATGCAGCTTCTGATGCAAAAAGGAGCATGGTGTGACTGATCTCTCTTCTCTCTCTATCAGTGGATTTAGTGTGAGCACTGCCGGGAGGATGCACATCTTCAAACCAGTTTCCGTGCAGGCCATGTGGTATGTACGCTGGCTTAGTTTTACTGGTAAAAAAAAATGAGACTTAGTTTTGCTAGTGAATTTTAACACCCCTTCCCCCCCACATATTTTACAGTTTGTATAGACGTTACAAACACCTCTCAAGGTGCAGGGAAGGTGTTGTTCCCCACAAAGCCAAGGGTATTAGCAGGTCCCTGTACTGAAAGTTTTTTAATATGCATGCTGATTCATAACCGGACCGTTTTCCCCATGGTAGATTACATGCTTCTGTTGCAAGCAGATCTGTCCTCTCCAGGCTAAGCACTGAGGGAAATTACATGAATGAGATGGATCAGGATGAAAAGCAACTTGAAGGTGGAATTTGCCAGGTTGCAAACCCCTGGCTGCCTCGTCACATGGTTTTTTTTTGTAACTAGGTGAAAAAGACGTCTAGTGCTCCATGCAGCCCATCTCCTGGAATTGCCAGCGCCCTGCGTTCCTTCAGGGTCGCCCTGGACTTCCTGCTTTCTCGGAGCTTTCCATGCGGCCCCAACCAGCTTTGATTACATTGGCTGGGCTTCCATCCTCTCACCCACCCACATGCACCGATTCCAGAGCAGCCAGACCGGGCTGTTAGAGCAGCCGCAGAATCCAGGGCTCCTGGGAACGCAGATTGCTTTTCATGGCAAGGACTTTAGAATAACTGACCTACACAGATGACACGTCTCATGAATTTCAATGCATGCCATTTGCTGGCTGTGTCAGAGGTTTCAAAAATCCCACATAGTGTAGTAATCAGTACGGAAAAGATGTGGATATGGAGAAAGGTATCATTTATGGGGCTGTTTGGTACACAAACAAAACCCTGGTTATTGCTACTTTTAAACTGTGCCCCTCCTGTTGGTAAACTCAGATGTGGTTGATGCATTCACTATAAAAATCATCTTCTGAATCGAAGGCTTCTTTTTTTAACAAAAAAGGTTGGTGCTAGAATTGACAAAAACAAATGACCCAATGTGGGATGTGCCGGAGGCCAAGACTGCTGTTAAATATGCCTTTTAGCTTCTTGGGAAAGGTGGTTTGAGATGTCCGCATTTTTCTGCTTTTTTGGATTTGGGGTTTCAAGCTAGCTAACCATTAAGCTGCAGCAGGAATGAAGCTGTGGCTAGGGCTGGTGCTGGTCTGCCACATGGGGTGAATTTCACCCTGTGCCCAAGTGGTTACCAAATGTGTGGGTTAGCGTTTGCGACTCCTCTGTCTAAGTTTAGAAGAGGAGAAGCCTTTGCTGTCCAGAAACAAAACCAAGCACTAACAAATCGATATGAAGTCCCCAGTGCAAATCTTCCATGCTTCTGGTTTCCATGTCATGTTCGCCCATGATGTTCAGATCATACTCGTACAGCAATACAGGGACCTCAGGAGGGCCTTGAAGCATCCCTGATGAGTGTTTGTCTAACCTGCACTTGCCAGCATCCAGTGCCAGAGAATCCACAACCGTCCTTGTTTTCCAAACTTGCAGGTCTGCGCTGCAGATCCTCCACAAAGCCTGCGAGGTGGCCCGGAGGTACAACTACTTCCCAGGCGGTATGGCCCTGGTCTGGGCCACGTACTATGAGAGCTGCATCGGCTCTGACCAGAGCTGCATCAATGAGTGGAACGCGATGCAGGACCTGGAGTCAACGCGCCCCGATTCCCCGGCGCTGTTTGTCGACATGTGAGTTCTGATTCTTCTCTTGAGCCTCTGCTTGTTGACATTAAAAAACCTGTGTTTTCCCTTTTGTCTTCCAGCACTTTGGTTTCCTCTCTGTTTACAAGGGCCCTTCAGAATGCTCACCCCTTTTCCCCTGGCTGTTTCAGTTCATGCCATCCTCCTGCTCCCTTCTCCATAATTGCAAGTGTCCTGTTACACAGAGAGAGCACTGCCAAGGGCTTCTGTCCCAGCAGAGTGCCTGTCTGAATGTCTCCTTTAATTTTCCTTTCCAGGCCAACTGAGCGGGAGAGGACAGAGCGGCTCATTAAAGCCAAACTCCGAAGTATCATGATGAGCAAAGACCTGGAAAATGTGACCTCCAAGGAAGTAAGGAACCCCCTACCCTGGGCTGTCTGGCAACAACCAGAGTCCAGAGAAGGAGAGGTAGCTTTGTTGCAGGGCTAGTGCAGGACCGGGATTTAGGACCCGTGGCGTCTATATTCCCCGCTGTTCTTATCAGATTTGTGCCCTGTTCTGGGAGTCAACCACCCAGTGAGGTCTCAGAGTCTTTTGCAACAAGGAGTTGAAACCAGGAGTGCTGGGATACATGTATGAGCCTTCTGAGTTGCCCTTTAGTTACTTGCTTTGATGGGTGAAGCATTTGCATGCAACCAGGTGAGCTGGATTAAAGCTCGCTCAGATATGCAAGCACATGATGCAGTCATGCCCCTTGATCTGCATTGTATATCCATGAGCTTGGCTTTTAAAGGGGAGGTGATGGTGGATAAAACTGCATGGGCGGCTCTTTTACAAATGAGAGAACTTGAAAACACCACATTCTTTTTTCCTGTAATGCCACCACCTTTTCTTGTTTCTGATGGGTTTTGCTCTTGCTCCTTAGGGGCTAGTGCAGTGCTTGGGAGTTGAGCACATTAGGGGATGGCTAAGTGTATAACAAGATGCAGTGTTGGTTGCATTGGGTTTTACACAAAGCTCTGAGTGAGCTAAATGTGGGGCCCAAAACATTGGAGGGCGACTGTTCAGTGAGATTATTGGTCTCGCAAAGCAATGATCTATCTCTGTCAGCCAGTCTCTCCCTTTCAGCCCCGTGTGTAAAAATGTATTGGCGTCCCCCTTTTTCAAACACTGGTGAATGTTGAGCCCATTCAGGCCTTCGTGTAGGTGGCGCATTCTTGTAGCCTAGATGGCATACTGTTATGTTCTGCCCTGCAGATCCGGAACGAGCTGGAGAAGCATATGAATTGCAACTTGAAGGAATTCAAGGAGTTTATTGATAACGAAATGCTGCTCATCCTGGGGCAGATGGACAAGCCCTCTCTGATTTTCGACCATCTGTACCTGGTAAGCGGCAGCATTCTGAGCTGTGCATTGCAAACAGCTTGCAGGGGTGAGCAGGGGCTCAGGCAGGGTATGGTGTGATGCAAGGTGGGTTTTTAAATCAGTAGAGGACATAGGCAGGGCACTGTCCAAGCACGCAGGTTATTTACTCTCAGACCCAGTCAGTGCCACTGGTTTTTGTTTGCTGAATTGGGTGAAGCCGAAGGTGAGGCAGTGAGGAGGTCAAAGAGCCTTCCACTAGGTGTGGACTGCACAGAGAGTAAAAGCTGAGCAGTGTTGTATGCTGGAAGCCTAGGGTAAGGCTGTGAAGGAGGATGCGACTCATGTCATCTCCTACCACTAGATGGTACTGCAAGCAGAACTAGAAATTACCATCTGGAACAAAGACTTAATGAAGACAAGTGAGGTCCTGCACCCGATTCACTCCTTCCAGGACAGAGACCGAGGAAGGATTGATGTTCACAGGTCAATCTTACGTTGGCATCCTAGTTTTGCCCCCTAAAGCCATGTCCCAGATTCAGTGCACAGCACCCACACCCCTGTAATTAGAACCTCCCCTTCCTCTTGGGAGTCACCTGGGTCTAGGTTGTACCACCTGGAACCTCTGGGTTTTTGGGCATCTGAAGGGTTTTCCCTGTACAGTCGCATTTGCTACTGAGTAGCCACTGACAGTTGATTTGTGGTGAACTTGATGGTAGGAGCTGGGCTGAGACTAATTCCCTTGACTCTAGAGACCAAGTAGATCCAGAGATGCTCACTGCCAACCCAGACAGGCTCTGAACTGGCCCCTCGAGAGACGGGCTCAGTGCCCCACAGCCCATCTCCTTTGCCAGTTCCAGTGCCTCTCCAGTTCTCACGACTGGGAGCTTCTCAGACTAAAGTCTGACTGTATGCTCCTGTAATGTTCCCACTTGGCTCCTAACCCTACCTCGTGTGTGATCCATACCTTCTCATGGGGGAGGGTGTTAAATAACAGGGCTGCCTAAGGCTTCTCCAGTAAGGAGGGAGAAGGGTTTTCCAGCAAAGACTGAAACCCAAGGTTTGAGTTCCCGTTGGGTCTGCCACAACTCCATGGGTGAGTGACTTGATCCCCTTGCACCTCAGTCTGGAAGGTCTGTATCAGGAGGGTGATGATAGACCCTTTCTTCCAGCCTTTGCATTGCCCATTTTGATGGTAGATGCTGTCATTTGTTGTAGTTTAGATTGCTCATTCTGCCTCTGTGTGACTTGCGCCCTAGGGATCAGAATGGAACGCCTCCAACCTAGAAGAGCTGCAGGGCTCAGGGTGAGTACTGCACCGTTCCTCTCCCTTCACCCACCGGCTCTACAGGCAACCAATGCCAGATGTTGCATGTGAAACACTTAAATCCCCATGGCACCTGCAGTTCTTCTCCTGCTCAGGTCTCTGAAGAGAGGACGTATGACCCTTATAGGGCATGGGGCACTTGAGTAGGGCAGCTGGTTCTGTTTGCACTAGCAGATGACCTGCTCTTGCCTCTCTCAGCCTTACTTCTCTGGGCTAGAAAATGGATGCAACCCTTGCCTGTCTGCCTTTGTAACGTGTCTCTGGAGCAGTGGATGAAGAATGCAGTATAGCAGCTACGTATTAAATAGCTGAGCTGGTTGTTGTCTCAGGTGTGAATTCCTGAATGCTGCACACAATTAAATCTTATGGGGCATGTCACAGAAAAGCCCTTCTCCAAATGGTGCAGAACTGCCCGAGAATGAGCACATTTGTGGGAAGCATCTTCCATTTCCCTGGTGCCTCCAGGCAGCTGCTGGGCCATCGCCACAAGAGTTTTCTCCACTACGCCACTTCTTGGCTTGATTTGCTTTCATGCTTTCTAGGCCAGTGGGAATTTTGTGTGTAAATACTTGCTGCTTGCCCCGGACATGCTCGAGGTCCAGTCTGAGGATTGGAGAAGCATTGCTCAACAAGAAGAATAACAATGTTTTAATTGGAGGCCTCAGGAACCAGATGTCTGAGCATTTTTGAACCAGTCAAATAAACAGCGCATTAATCCTTTGATCCTCTGTGATGGTATCTTTGACATGCTGTATTTAAAAAGCCGAAGCTGGACGAATCTTTACCCAAATGATTGGTGCTTTTGATTTGTCTGCAGGATACAACACAATAAATTCATACGGGCACTCGCTCTCCTAGGTTGAATGGTGAAAGCCTTGCTCTTGGGCTATGCAGAAGCAGAAGGCAACTAGGAAACTTTTATTTCATGTTTCTGGTTGGAAAGAAGGAAGAAAGGACCGCATGTGGCCGCAGCATAGGACTAAGAATCAGGGTTCCTGGGTTCTCTCCCCAGCTGGGCTATTTATTGTGAGACTTTGGGCAGGTCTCTGTACTTCTTCCTCCCTCAGCTTCCCCATCCATAGGGTGGCGGCCCGTTTATTTTCTTCTTGGGGTTCGTCTGTTGTTTGCAGAGTGCTCTGAGCTCCTGAGAAATGCAGAGTCTTTGTTTTGTCTGGTTAGAGACAAGATGATTTTATTGGAAGGACAGGGAGCGAGGACCTCCTGGTTCAGGTTGGCAGGCTGGTCCTGTGAGTCCTTCATGGGCATGACTCCAGCTGGTGTCTTGGAAGCTAAGGATTTGGGGACTTGGGGCCAGAGGGCAAAGGGGGCTTTGCTTCCTGTGTGTGGCGACCGCCGGAGCTTTGCATCACATTTCATGTGCTTTATCAAAGACATTTCCATTCCCGACTGAGGTCTGGCACGGTTCAACTTCATCCTTTCTCTGTTTCCCTATCCTTCCTTCCAGCATCGACTACATTTTAAATGTAACACGGGAAATCGATAACTTCTTCCCCGGGCTGTTCGCCTATCACAATATCAGAGTGTATGATGAGGAGACAACTGACCTCCTTGCCCACTGGAATGAGGCGTATCACTTTATCAACAAGGCCAAGTAAGTGGATGATCATCTCCGGGGTGAGGGTAAGGACCTGTTGGTGTCCGTGGAGAGAGTA